ACATGATCAGACAGCAAGGCTCCCTCAGCTCGCCGCGGTGACGGTTATGTAATTTTATGAGAGGAGGCCAGCTCTGTGCATGCTCATTAATACGTTGTGGGCCTCCACTCGAACAAATCCGTTTATTTTCCGCCATGTCAAGTACAATCCCCATTTGAAAGGAATAAAAGGAGTCCCTCGGATTGGTGGTGAATCAAGTCGGCTGTGTTCACACCCACAACAGCACGAAACACCCTTTTTTTAAATGCGCCATTCTGCGCCCGCTTGCACAATTCTGCAAAAATATCAACACTCAGTCTAACCTGCCCCTGCACAGATTCAGTCTGCTCTTCGCATGAAAGTTGAGCCCTAGATGTGATCTCGCAGATGAACACTACAGCGAGCAGTGATATTATTTTCATTTTTCATTTGTTTTTTTTGGGGCTGAATTGTCTTTGGTATTGATCTTATTTGTTCAGTCTTACAACATCTCTCAGCAACATTTGCTTATTACTCCTCCTTGTAAGCGACGTTGACTGGAACCTATTTAGCTACGGAAGGTGGACTAACTTTGTTGTCTTCCATTTTCCTGGATGGTGCAGTGATCACATGGTCCAATCATTTTTGATTTTCCTTTCTGTAGGTCTCGGTTTCGTCACTCTAAGTTCACCCGGCAAAAACATATTTGGATGACTTGGCTCCATTTGTTTAGCAAAATTTAAACATCTTGCAAATGTTCAATGAAGCATTTTCATCTTGACGCCAGCTGCGCACATTTTCAGAAATGGCCCCGGATTCTGACGCAGCATTTACATTTTCCATTCATCCCTAAACGATGGAGAGTGCACAGTGGCGAGAGTTAACTCAGCCAAGAAGCGAGAGGAATACTGATTGCCTTGTTGATGTTTATGCATTCAAATGGCCTCCGACAATACTGTGGTGAGTAATTCTCTGACCTTTTGGGTGTCTGTGTCTGCAAAGGTTAACCCAAAGTAGTCCTTCTCCAACAAGTTGAGGTGCTCACACACCATGTCGATCAGCGTCTGTCCTTTCGAGTGTTTCTGCAATGACAAATGTTTCAAATGTCAGCGCAAACAGAACAGATGTCCTCCAATATGTGAGCAAGGGCAGCACCGTGGTCCAGCGGTGATGCCTTTCAAACGTACTTATCCGGAAGGTTCAAGTTTGGTTCAAAAAAAAATAATAATAAAAAATTCTACCTTGGTGTCCCAATCAACCTAGGCCTAACCCTGTGGCACACCTAATAATCTCTCAACAGCACATTCATGTACCACGGCGCACAGGTTCGGGATCACCGCAATGAAGAAATCATTCAGTCCGTCGAGTGTACGTGGGAATCATGGTGTTGCCAAGGCAACCAATGTATTGTAAATGTGAGGCAGCGATTCTTCACATTTCACTGCTAGCACTCGAAATAGCGAGCCGATAATGACGCGTTAACGTTCAAACGACGGCGAGCAACGCTTGAGACATGGCGTGCCGTTAGGGGCCGCCTCTGGCGGTCAGCGAAGATGATATACACGCAAATGCTGTCACCTGGGTGCCGATTGAAAGGCGAGTGGAAATTAGCACATGCATCTCAATGCAAAGCACAGGCTAAATGTGTCTGAGCGAGGCTCTCAAACTTGCAGCCCTCGACTTGACATTAAACTTGACTGTCGTCGTGGCCCCCACCTATTGGGCAGTGCCCCTGCCCCCGGGTGTTTTGTTGTTTTGTGCTTGTAATTACTTCAAGGTGACCATAGGTCAGGCTCATGACAGCTTTAAACCAAACATAATTCTGTCAGCCCAGTGCCAGTCACGTCCTTTTCACAACCTGCCGTGAAGAGAAAGCTTGGTGACCAGATCAGACGGTTACAAGAAAAACAGGGGGCGGAACGTTTTTTTTCTGTTGTTGTTGTTGTTGCTTCTCCCCGAAATGTCTCAAATGCACGGAGAAAGTTGCGATGCTCAAGAAATCCGGCGTCTTGACTCAACTGGAAGAGTATGCAAAGTACGAGCGGGATGAAAGAGTCAACCAGATCACCGATATTGTTCACGTTCTGAACCATATTCATTATCCGAACTGTTTTTAATCAAGATTGGGAAGATTGGATTGGTTATACTTTTTGCGAATACTGGAACCCCTTTATTTGTGGGGTACTCGATGAGGCCCAGTCACACACAGACGCTCTCCAAGCGACTCCCCCATATAAATTTCAGAACCCTGTTCTACACCAACTTCCTCCAACCACGCTGTTCCTTCAAAGTGGGATGTAGATAATCAGCCATGCATCTTAATTAGCAGGGAATTTAAGATTGGGAGAACTCGAGGTCAAGCCAAGGGTCCTCAATTGGCAGATTCTCTTTTCAACCCTCCCAACCGGGTCCTATTTTAGCCCATTTCAACAAACATGTCATTTAAGAAGCTCAATGTTTGGGGAAATTTTGGTTAATCTTGTCTGGTGATGGCAGTAGTCAATAAACACATACAACAAATACACTGACACAATCGTGTGTGCGTTGTAACTCCTCCCACATTACTCAAGTCAGCCAAGCAAATTGTTTTTGTATTCAGAGCAGCTCGACGGGTGGGTTTGCGAGAGGCGGGCAAGTGGTGAGGAAGGAAGGTCATTAATGAAGGAGCTAAACATTGAGGCCCCGATTTAACAAGACATTTACTAAGTAAGTCAACGACTTACGACAAAATAATTGGCGCTAAATTGCAGGTGCACTCACTCAAAGAGATTGTGCGCGCCGTTGGCAAAAGGTGGGTTGTCACAGTGCGCTGAAATGACTCAGAACAAGCGCAGAAATGTCACGTCCAAGGGAGCTTTGTCATCGTGAGATAGATGTTTTTGTTTGTTTTTTTTTTTTTACAATTAAAGTACTGCACTCCTCAGTCTCCATACGCACCCTTGTGAGGAATGGAAAAGACTAAAGAGCACTCAAGACACAAAAGCATTCATAAGCACGCTGCAAACTATTCTTGATGTGTTGACAGCACCCAAAAGCAATTTCTGAATGTTTTCACTGCGCTGAAGGAAAAAGGTGACCAAGGTGTCGCATTCCCGACGCTTGTGCTTTACTCGCCTAAGAGCAAAAACGACAGTTGAATGCACATGGCAAGGCTTTTGAAAAATAATGGGCCACATTCATTTAATCCAATCGACTAATCAGTACAGGTTTGTCTTGCCACTTTTATCGGTAATCCATGATCTTGTTTATCTTTCCCACTATGCAATGGTGGCGTTATCTTCGTAGCAGCATGACATACTGTAGCAACTCATCAACAGTCTGAACTAGAATTCACGTGGATATGTTTTTGTGTGTGTGCGTGCGTGTGTATTCACAGAACCGCTTGCTGTGGGTGGCTTCAGCTTCCCTTCCCAGCAGGTGATGAATGTCATTTCACACGCTGCAGGAGTAAAACAACAGAGGCATGCGTGGCAACAATTTCGATCCGCAAAGATGAGATGTTTTATCGTGTGTTAAGGCAAAATGTAAAATGATGAGCTGTCAGCTTGTCCTCATCCCTTGTATTCCCTCGTCCGCCCACTACCGCTCCTACAGAACAATAAATTGCCCACACAGACCAATAAATAGAAGACGGCACGAAATTTCTTGAATTGCCATGAAAAGAAGACAAAAGAACTGGACAGTGATTTGAAATTGAAAAATTTGGCGCTTCTTTCATTTTAGGCAGCTGGCTAAAGACAAGCCTCTCCTTTCTCAAGAGCACTTTGAAACAGTCATTCGTGCTTTGGTCACACGCCGGCTGGATGACTGGAATGCCCTTGACTTTGGAGTCAGCCGATCCTCCATGAAGCATCTCCAGTTGGTCCAGAATGCCGCTGCTCACCTCTTGACTGGTACACGTAAGAGGGAGCACATGACTCCTTTTCTGGCATCATTTCACTGGCTCATTTTAGAGTTCTTTTGAAGATCCTTTTATTTGTTTTCAAATCTTGAAACGGCCTGGCCCCACCTTACCTCTCGGAGCTCCTTCGCGTCTGCCTGGTGGCTCAGGTCTGCGGACCAGACCCTATTAGAGGTACCGAGAACTAAGCGGAGGCTCAGAGGGAATGGAGTCTTTTCCGTTGCCGCTCCCTCTCTTTGGAATGAGCTCCCACTGAGCATTCGGCAAGCCACCTCGCTGCCCATCTTTCAAACTCGTCTTCAAACTCATTTTTTATTCTTTGGCTTTTGACTCAGCATGAGACTTGATTTGTAGTTTGACTGTTTTTGTGCTTTCTACTGTCTTTATTATTAATTTATTGTCTGTTGTTGTATGAATTATTTTTGCTCCATGTACAGCACTTTGTATCCGGCAGTGGTTGTTTTAAAGTATTCCGTAAATACAGTTGAGTTGCCAAATACTAAACGTGTTCTCGACATGATTTGCTCCACTGACGCTTACCTCGATTTCTCCTTTGTAATCTGACAAATCCAGCAGCCCGACTTTAAATTGTGTCGTTTTATGTCTTTTGGAGCCTTTCTGTGGTGATTTGAGGTTTTTATTCGGGGACGTCTTCTCAGATGTGTCATCGTTTTCTCTCTGTTCATCCAGAGGCTTGGAATTCTGCTCCTTTAGTGACAAAAGTGAAGAAAAGACATCGTCAGTCTCACAACACGGGTAAAACATTACATTCGATATTGAATTATTATTATTGTGAAAAATGGAAATATCAAGCAGAAAAACCACAAATCAAGCGGGTATAATGAGTAGCTCCATGTTGGCATTCGCTTGAAAAAGTTTTGTTTCCAAGAAAATGCGACGACAAAAAAATTGACAGTCGAAAAAGACTCATGGTAATTTTTGTATCATTCCATACTGATGTCGTAAGTGATTAGAAGAGGTTTGGGGGTTTTTTTCCCCTTTGAGGGTAATCCCACCTGTTTTGCCATCTTGCCATCCAAGATTGGCTCCTGCATGTCTGCCACTGCCCCCTGCTGTCTGGGAGGACTCCTGGCTTGTCCTGGACACTCAGCACAAACCTCGGGGGCTTCAACAAAGATACAAACAAATAACAAACATTTTCAAAAATGAGATGCATGATGGCAAATTGTTGTCGAACAAATACTAACAGATTTCTTTGTTGTTGGTGTTTGAGAAGAATGCTCAGCAGACACAATCATGGGGAAGAAACTTGCTTCCCTACAATTGAAATTAAAATTTTATGAAAACGGAATCCATTTTCCATAAAATTTCAATTTCAAATCAAGTCAAGTCAAATGTATTTGGGTTATTTTTCGCCCTCATGTCTCAAAAGGGCTTCACATGGCCACAGTTGACAAATATTAACACACAAAACACACACTGCTGCACAAAAAAAAAAATAATAATAATAATCCAATTGCTATTATCTTCTGAAGTCAAACTTGACTGCATGTTTAGAATATCATATGTGATATTTCTTCTTGTGGGTGTGAATTTTTGTGTACAAGACACAAAAATAAAGATGTGCATTACGTTGTACTGCTCAACATCCCCCACACTGGGTTTGACACTGTGGATGTGGATTGTTTTGTTGGTGAACGCCAGTGCAAGTACAACGGCTGTCCGAGTTTTGGGGCGCAGACCGTGGGAAGGAAAAGCATGAAACGACACACTTGCCCGTAGTTTATTGATCATCAAATGATGTCTGACACAAATTCTCGACATTTCTCAAGCTTATTTACAATTGAATTTCTTGAATACAAACGAGAAAACCCCCTGTTGAAAATCACAGACCATTTCGACCAACGCAAATAGCTTGAAAAGGCCATCTGGCTCATTTCCAAGCCAAATCGGCCATTCGATAGACTCATCGCCCTTTACAGTAAATGCCTGATTTATTCGGTTGAGGGAACAATTACTTTCTCAAATAGGGTCGGATAGTTTTGCTCTGACGAAGAAATAAAAGCTGCCCTTTGAAACAGCATTTTACATTTACTTCAGTTATCTGTCTGATAGTAATATTATTGATGAAGAAAAACAGAAATCAGGAAGGGGGCAAGAAAACAAAAACAAAAAGTGTGTCTGTATATACACCACCCCCACTTCATTTTGTTGTACCTTTATACATCAATCCTACTTGTCGGGGGCACCATTCGGAGGTTTCCAAACAGCAACGTGTCATTAATGTCACGTTCCAGTTGTGTCGCTGACATGGCCCAACATCGAGCATCTTTCGAGGGCCCCCCCCCCCCCTACAAATGCTGCCAGCAGCGTGTTATGAAGCAACAGCAATATGATAGATGTGAAACGCCTTCGGAATAAGAACAGGCTTTCCAGTTTAATTAAGGGGTGCGCATTAGTCAATGAAGGCAGATAGGGAAGGCATCGGAGAGGGAGTATGCACATATGCGTGCCTGTGGAAGAGTACTGGCTCGGCACGGAGGATTCGTCGCCATGGTAACAGCACAGCACAGTCACTTTTTTTTTTTTTTTTGCTCACACCTGATCATCGCTCTCCTCAGCGGAGAGACGGAGAGACAAACTGAAGCGGGAAGGTGGGGAACAATTCATCCCGGCCAAAATGTATTTTTAAGAAATAGCAAAAAGAAATGGATTGAGCTACTGTTGAGACACTCAAGAAACATTGCCATTGTTCACTGAGCAACGCTGGAGGGGCATTCAGCACCGCATCACAGCTGAGGAAATACAGATAGGTTGAGGCAAACAGAGCAGCTACCATCTGTTACTACCCTGAGATGATCCATCCGTCCATTTCCAACAATGCTGCTCCTGAAGAGTGTCGCGGGGCGTTTGCTGGAGCCTTTCCCAGCTGACTTCGGCCGGAAGGCGGACTAACCGCTGAACTGGTCGCCAGTGAGTCGCAGGGCACATACAGAGACGAACAACCATACACCCCCACATTCACACCGTCACGAGTGGGAACCGAGCCCACGATGCCCACACACACGTCAGGCGAGTGTACCGCCACGCCATCAGCGACACCCCTGATTTGCTCTTTATTTCCGATCTGATGCCCTGTACTGTAATTAAAGCAATTTGGTTAATGTACAGTCCGATCCAACTTACAAATGTTGAACGTCCAACTGCTGAAATTGTTATGAAGCCGTGTATTTTTGCATTACTAATTTTGCATACACAAATTGTGAACTGTTGTTAAATAGTTGCCACAGGGACCGACATTAACGGCGGCCCGATGGCCCAGGGCCTGTAAGGCAGTGGTCCCCAACCTTTTTTGTGTTATGGACCGGTTGAGACAAGTACATGCGCTGTTCGCTGACCGGTTTTTAAATCGCCAGTTTTCAAGCGCTGGTAATTTCAGCATGATGAAAAATGGTGGCCGTAAAGTGTATCATGATTCCAAATGCAAATTCACTGCCCACGGAAGATGCTTAGTAGTGGCCCACATGGCCTTTCGAGAAGTTGTAATATACTCCAGCGGGAAGCAGCTACTTTACTGAGCAGTAAACTCTCAACAACTCAAGCGGTTGTAAATACCTCTGACACTCCCTAAAAAAGCGAGAATGGTTCTATCTGATATGTGACAGCTCTTCTGATCGATGGCACAATAGATCGCGCAAATCAATAGGGAGTTTGTGATCGGGACAAGGACTCGCCGTACAAAGCCACATCCAACAAGTTGATCGCTTGCCATATACGGCGCACATCGACGATTAGGCTGTCGTACTGGTAAGAGCCGGCACTCCAATCTTCATTGAGGCCACACACAGTTCTGACTGACAGACCAGTTGAGGGGTGATTGCTTTTCTTTCAAAACAATTTTAGTTGCGGTTTTCAGAGCCGTCTTGTTTGTTCAAGACAATTGGCCACTCGTCGTTCATGCAAACGGGACTGTTAGGTTTTGATTTTTTTTTTGTGTGTGTGGGTGTTTTCTGATCTCTGATTCTAATCTCCTATCTCGAGTGTTTGTTTTTTGATACTTTAAAAACTCCTTTTATCTGTTTAATTACTGTACAATTGCTGAGTGCACTTGCCCGTCGTCACAATAAGTGCCTCGCCTGGAGTTACTCTCGGTACTACCTCCCATGATGCAACTGGAGGATTAGAATGTTTCAGTCAGGCATTGTGTCAATTTCAGCAGTCCTTTTCCCATGTTTTGCTCGAGACGACATGCTTTTTTTGGGTTCCGCTCCATAACCAGACATAAGTTACTATTTTACTGTACTTGAGGGAGCATCGTGCATGCACGCTTGCTTGCTTGCACGGGAAGACAAAACCAGACTGTACAGAAAGCAAATGTGGAGATAAGTGTGGAAGTACATGGCCGAGCGAACAGGTTTACTGCTAGCAAGAGAACTACGGTATGTGTACTGGCATTGAAATTGCATGAAAAACACTGTAGCGAGCTTGTTTACAAGTTCTGTCATTTTTTTTTTTTTTTTTTTTTTATAGGGAGGCGGTGGAGGCGACTGGAGTGTGGAAGAAAGAGAGAACGTCAGACCGTTAGCGACGCACTGGTTAGCGTTGAGGTAGTTGTTCCGGGCGACGTGGTTCCGTCCAACAGTAACCTGTTCTGTTCTTAATTAAAGAGTTTGTTGTCAGTTGTGTTGATTAGTACGGCAACATGCTGAGAGTCCGTCAATAAGGTTCTGCAGTGAGTGTAAAGGCAACGTAGCGAATGTTGATTATTTGTCAGGGTTCCGTCAAGGTTGCGAAGACGTTTGTGTCCAAAAGCTTCAGCTGACTTGACATCGCCATTCTCCACCAAATGTGCCAAACACAGCACGATTCTGGGAATGCAGAATCCGAACGGAGACGACACAATGAAGAGAGGCTCCAAGACACCCACATATCAAGAACTCCAAAGCTTTTTTTAAACCATCAAATTGAGGAAAACTGAGACCCAATCCGAGCAAAGCTGAATTACATCTGGGATATCTTTGAATATTTTCATTTCTGACCAACAAAAATAGCTTGAAAAGGGTACTCTGTTCATTCCAACATTTTCTGACCAACAAAAACAAATGAAATGAAATGAAAGTATGACATCATATTTCACGGATCAATCAGGTGACATGTCGTCATATCATCACTCAACTTTATTTATCGAGCCAAACAGCAATCAGGTGGCACACATTCTCAGAGTGGGGAGCTGTATTTTGTTGTATTGGCTTGTCACACACTCTGGTCCTAATCTTGTTCACGGTCCAAAGAGAGCCCGTGGACACGGCAGAATACGTTGCCGACGCCGCGGTGCTTTTTCACGCCGCTCTCCGTTGCTATTTAACGCTCCTCCACATGCGTGCAAAATATCACAGGACGACGATGGCGCGAGGACAGAAACAGGGCGCCACACATTGCATTGCGACCAACTGGACTGAGCCGCAAGCATGAGATGACTTCCCCGAAACACCAAGTAGCATTCCAACGGCGCCTTCGGCATCACCCTGAGTCATTGTCATGGCCCGATTGGAGCGGGACAGCGTGGCTCACAGCCACACCATATGGCACTGGCCGCCAACGGGGGCCACAGAACCGTGCAAGAGAACGCAGCTGCAGAAGGAAGGCGTGTGCGCTCATCAATGTCTCTCTGTGAGGAGGTTTTGCCATTAGGGTGCTAAGGGGACCCTTCACCTTACATCACCTTCACCGGACCCCTCCGATAGACAGAAGCTAAACTGCTTTACATGAACAACACAAAATGCAGATATCAAGTGCCGATGAAGACAAAGGAGGTTTTATCTTCTTGTTCCTTTGCCTGCTGCAATGTCGAATAATAAGGACGCGGATGATGCAGGCGAGTGTACATCTCAGCCGGCTCCGCAGCAATCACAGTGAGACGCTCTCTCGTGATTACAAAATGTGAGGTGAAGACTAATTATGAGATCAAGATCTTATTCAGTGTACTTAGCGTTCAGATACAGGGGATGTTGAGAAAGTGGCGAGTGCTTCCTTCTGAAGAATCGGACACATTTTGTCGCTGATTACTTGCGTCATGATAAAATGAAGGCAAATAGAAAGTGCCACTTAGCTGGCTGCAAACACCGAATGTGTGCGCACACATACATATATATATATTTATTATAA